CACCGGTGAAATGTCAAATGTTATTTGATATTGGACTCAAAATGTTAATTCTATTTCATCCAGATACGTTGCTACACCTGCTGAATTTCTCCAGTATTTTCTATTTTTGTTCCCTCCATTTCCCGGAATCCTTCCAGTACCCTGGACAACCACACACTTCAAGTTTTATTTCGGACTCCCCCTCTCCATCCAGCCAACCTTCCCACCCACTTCTTTTTTTAATTTCCTTTTCTAGTTTTATATCACCCTTTAGACAAATTCCCCATTTGTGTTGAGCCTCACTTGCCTGCCAGTGTGGCTGTCTCACTTAGGTCAGCTGATGGACCCAATCAGCGTCCACCCCCTCATAATGTAAGCTTTCTTTTATTTCAAAAATATACTTTATTCATAAAAGATCTTTATATACATACATAGTTACTACAGCAGTTCGATTCTGTACAGTCCTTACATGTGGAGAACAAACAAACCCAAAGCGTTTCTTACTTATACAAGATTATATTTACATACATTTGAGGCACTGGGAGGGCCCGATAACTAAAGGAACCCCCATTTAACTTTGGCAGAATGACCTCAGACAGTGGTCTTTCCCCACTGTGCCTTGGCAGCAGCTGCCCCAAGCTTCACTGCATCCCTCAGCATGTAGCCCTGAATCTTGGAATGTGCTAGTCTGCTAGAACAAAAAAGAACAACACAACACAGGAACAGGCCCTTCCACCCTTCAAGCCTGCGCCAACATATTTTGCCCTTCCAGGATCCATATTTCTCTATTTCCATCCTATTCATGTATTCACGTGCTTCTTGAGCGCTGCTATTGTGTCTGCTTCCACCACCTCCACTGGCAACGCGTTCCAGGCACTCACCACCCTTTGTGTGAAAAATCTGCCTCGCACATCTCTTTTAAAGTTGCCCTTGGTTGCTACACTTGGTTGAGGTCAACTCCTTGCTCTGGAAGACCAACAAGTTTTGGGCAGACCAAAGAGCGTCTTTTGCTGAATTGATGGTCCTCCAGGTGCAGTCAATATTTGTCTCAGTGTGTGTTCCAGGGAACAGACTGTAGAGCATAGCGTCCTGCATTCCTGATTGATTGATTGATTGATTTTATTGTCACGTGTACCAAAATACAGTGGAAAAACTTTGTTTAAGAGTAGGTCATGTAGATCATAGCAAGCAAAGGATGTACAGATTAAAAAGACTTAGAGGTGCACAGGCTACATTGCAGGTGACATTATTTGAGGCTAGAGTCCATTCAACAGTCTGATAACGGCCGGAAAGAAGCTGTTCCTGAACCTGCTTGTTCATGTGTTCAGCTTTCTGTATCTTCTGCCTGACGGAAGAAGTTTTAGGGGATCATTACCAGGGTGTGATGGGTCTTTGATGATGTTGGCTGCCTTTCCGTGGCAGCGAGCCGTGTAAGTGGAGTCCATGGGTGGAAGGTTGGCTTCCGTGATGGTCTGGGCTGTGCACACCACTTTCTGTAGTTTCTTACAGTCCTGGGCAGAGAAGTTGCCATACCAGGCCTTTATGCACTTGGACAGGATGCTTTCAGTAGAAGTTGGTGAGGGACCTTATGGACATACCGAATTTCCTGAGCCGCCTGTTGCATTTATGTGGGAAGTCCAGGACAGGTTGTCGATTATCGTCACTCTGAGGAACTTGATGCACTTCACTCTCTCAACTTTAGTTCCATTGATGTAGATGGGAGCCTGTTCTCCTCTCTTTCTGAAGTCGATGATCAGTTCTTTACTTTTGCCGATGTTGAGAGACAGATTGTTTTCGTTGCACCATGTCACCAAGCTCTCTAACTCCCTTCTGTATTTTGACTCATTATTGTTAGATATTCATCCCATTACGGTAGTTTCATCAGTGAACTTGTAGGTGGGGTTTGTTCAGAGATTGGCAACACAGTCGTACGTGTACAGGGAGTATAGTCGGGGACTGAGGATGCATCCTTGGAGGGTTCCAGTGTTGACTGTTGGTGTGGAGGACGTACAGTTACCTATCCTCACTGATTGCACTTCATGGAATTGCTTGGAACAAACCTCAACAAAAATTACTTCATGTCTCTTCAGACTTCCTTTTCAAAGGCACATTCCAGAAGGAGATGTGTGACGGTCTCTAGTAGGCTTGGGTGTTAATAAATATTCATGACATGTCAATGAATGTAAAACAGGTTGCCGACAATGATGATGAGGAAACATGACTAACTTGCGAGTTTCTGAGAACTTATAACAAAATATTAATAACCATCAGGAAATTGCAGTTCTGATTTCAGCGCAATTAAGTTCCCTTGTGTGCCCTTCTGTAAACTGGAAAATTCCAATAGACGTCTATTATATCAATATAACCTGTAACCACTTGTTAACATGCAATGAGCTATATCTTGTTAACTACAATACACTCTTCCAGTTAATGGTTTCTCTCTACCACGCTACACCAAGGAGACAAGCCAGTTTCCAACAACTAAAGAGGATGTTGGCAACAACATTCATACTGAGCAACAATTTGCACGGCATAGTGTACTGGCCTGCCTGTATGATAGGAGACATTGTCCTGCACTCTTACTTTCTCTTCATTTATATGCTATTTATCATTACAATCAAGCACAATTACAAATTATCTTCCATAAATATATCGATGACATCTTACAACTCCACTTGTTCTTACAGGACCCTTCTCTGACAACAAGTCTTGGATGAATCCCACAAAGTTAAAAGGAAATTACTGTGAGAGTTGGAAAACATGGCCGATTTTCATTCCATTAATGGCTTCCACACAATTTCTAACAGCATTTTCAGTCTTTAAATCCTGTTCCCTGGAATATCCTCCCTAAGCCCTTGAACATTGTATTAAAAACCAAAAGAACTGCAGATGCTGTGAATCAGGAACAAAAGCAAAGTTGCTGGAAAAGCTCAGCAGGTCTGGCAGCATCTGTGAAGGAGAAAACAGAGTTGACGTTTCGGGTCCGGTGACCCTTCCTTGAACACTCTCCTTTTCTCTCCTTTAGAAACTTCTTCTGATACTCAATGTTCTTCAAAACTTTCAGTCATCCCTAGCAAACTTTCTTTTCCCAAACACTGGCCCAGAGTTTACAATGGCCAGACAGTTGTTATTCCTGCATGGATAGATGTCGCACAAGGGGACCCTGTAGAATCCTCACCACAGCAGAGTTAAAAGGAATTGGCTGGGAAATTAAAGATTCCTCTGAGCAATTATTCCACACCTGGAACCCTCCAAAGTTATCCATTTAAATTGGATAAATTTAAATAAATGTTTAGTCAAGATATTTAGGCTACTTAAATGGATAGCCTAACTCCTGAGTAACTATTCCACTGACCCCATCTTTATCTCACATAACCTAATTACACAAACCCCCAGACCACTTACGAGTCCCCAGACCCTGACCCGACAATCCCTCCTTTGTCCTGATGACCCGCCAATACCCAACTCACCCCTACTCCAGTCCTGAACCCCTTCCCCTGTACCTTCTATCCCAACCTCAAATGAACCTGCCACCTCCAAATTACCTCCCTCCAGACCTGATCTGCCTCATCCTACTCTGAACCATCCCTACTTTCTCCAGCTACTTATTGTTAGTTCAGCCCCATCCCATATCCCTGCTCCAGAGCTACTACACTCCTTCCTCCAGTCCATAGGCAGCATCCTCCTCCTCCCACATGCGCAATCCTCTATTCCCCGGTTCTGGATCCACTGACCCACTTCCTCTATTCCGGACCTGATCTGTCTCTGGCACCTACTTCCTCACCACTGGACTCAATCCCCACCAAAAGTGGACACCTGTCCACCTCCACCCCCACCTGCACCTGATATCTCTCACCAACCAGATTTACTCTAAACACTGTGTCATGTAACTGCCTTCTTGTGAACTTGCTCCCTTGTATCCTATCTGCATGGCACTCTACCCCTTACTCACTTGGCATCCTACCCTACTGGCACTCTGTCTCATAGCTCCCTACCTCCTACCCACCTGGAACTCTATCCCACCTAGTACCCTTCTGCCTGTCAACCTACCCCCTATTCATTTGGCATGCAACCAGCATGGCATCTTACTTATGTGGCACCCTTTCCCCTTCTCAAACTGGCAGCCTACCCTCCTGATACCCCAATCCCCTAACTCAGCTATCTTATGTACATACCGTTCGGAAGCAGCTGTCAAAGACTCTGCCTGTGATTCTGGACTTTTACATTTTAGAATAGGACTGCTCACTGCTGTCAAATGGGAACATGATTTGCCTCCTCCCAACAGTGTGAGAGAACTGACAGAATGGAAAAAGAGCTTCACACTTTTAAGGGAGCCCTGATCAGAATTTCCTGTCAGAAATGCAGAGATCTCTCCTTTCATATAAAAAAATGGTGTGCAATAGAGATCTCACGGCGTGAGATTGCCAATACTTGGAAAATCTGGTCCTTTGTGTTCTCTTTCTCTTCCCTTCCACAGTAGAGAGCCTTAGGAAATGTTAGATAGTGTCATACAGTCGTAGCGATATACAGCACAGAAACGGACCATATGTTAGAAATACTGTAAGATTGCGGATCACTGTTGCACTGGGCTTCATTTTAAATGGTTGATTGTTACAAAAGCAGTGTCCAGATGAGTGCAATGATTTTAATATAAGAAAATCTTAAACCTGTAAAAGTTGATACTGGTCACGTATTGCACCAAAATTAATCTTCCTCCATAATGATGTGACTTTTTTCCGTTTTGGCTGGTTCTGGTTCCTTTCAATTGCATCAAAAGTAATTGTTGTGTGGGAATGGGGTGGGAGGGGGATTAGTTTTTGACTCTAGCTGGTGTAGGGATGGCAAGGTACTAATCCTCTGCATGGCTGGGAACTTTGTAAATGTAGAATAGAAAAATGTTCTGTTTATTCCATCACAGTCAACCCTCGATTTACGTGTACTAAAACAAAAATAAATAAATGCTTCAAAGCTCACGGAAATCTGTCATTAGATTAAACCAGTATTTATTTTCTGTTTTATAGAATGGATTTGCTGTTGTCAGGCCCCCTGGCCATCACGCTGAAGAATCCACTGCCATGTAAGTACCAGAGGCATTGCCTGTTTTAACAGCGCTGGGGTTACTGCCAGTCACCTGCATAGCTCTGGCCTCTACAACACTCTAATCATTAACAGATGGCTGTAAAACGCAAAAGGAAAAGCTTTCTAGGTACTCCCAGAAGCAGATTTATAGCCACAGAGATCATATAGCTTTTTAAAATATGCCCCAGATCATTATTTATAACCATTTTCCTGACAGGTTTGCCTTTTTATTTCTCTCTTTTCTCTATTCCATAGGGGGTTCTGCTTCTTTAATTCTGTGGCAATTACTGCCAAGTACTTGAAACACAAGCTAAATATAGGCAAGATATTAATCGTGGACTGGGTACGTATACTTAATATTCAAGGCACAATGTGGCAAGATTTTATGAATGATGTGTTTTAGGTATTGTCGTTTACTGTGCTATATATACTAGACTTCCATTTTAATAAGCTTTTAAGCAGGAAAAAAGTTTCAAATTTTGTTGACTGTTTGATTCTTGATTATTCAATCGTTTGAGAGCTGGGAATGTTATTTTACTCAGTGTACTTAAAGCAATGATAGGTAGTGTTGCATCACATTGTTCTAGGATATGGCTGTTAATGACCCAGTGCCACATACAACATCCTCATGCAATGAATCCTTTAGCTGAGATTTCATCCATGTAGGAGAACACAGGGTGGAGATCAAGCAGTTCTCCATGAGGAGATGATTAGGTAAAATCACTAGGTGAGTCAACCCATGTTGCTGGCACAGTGCTGCCAAATTTCAGAGTGATGATAACAAAGGCTAATAGTATCTGTAACTCAGTGGCCCAAGATGCAGTAGAAGACAAATCACAAAACAATGATGATTAAAAACAAAATTTTTTTTGGCACAATAATGGTGGTTATTGTGGTATTTAAATTATGTGATCAGCAAAGATGAGGAAAACTTTGCATTCCTGGACTAGTGAAAGAAGTGAACAGTTCATTAGTCAGAAATAAAACAAGTTGATAATTGGTAACAATTTCACTGCAGCAATATATTCAAGTCTTTTGCAATGCAAGCTTTAACATTTCTGGGTATGAAGACTCCAAAACCAAAGATATTTTTGAAAAATTTCTGATTCACCCACTTTTCACAAATAAATTCAGAAAGCCCTAAGTTTTCCTATGGACTATCATTATTTAGGATTATTATTAATCTTCTAATCTGAAGGAACAGCTTTGAAAGTGTTTTAAACTACATCAACATAAAAGCTGAGCAACAACTCTGGTACAGAGATACTGTGATAATAAAGTTTCACAATAAGGCAAAAAACATTTTCTCTGCGCAAGAATTCAGAAAGTTGTGCTCTTCATACTATCCATTGCTTTCTTCACTTGTAATTATCCTTTTATTTCCAAATATCTAGCTACTTCATTTTTAAAAGCTATAATGATGTTTCCTTTATTTGTTTTCTGCTAAAGTATTCAATGTCGTAAGAATGTTTTAAGTCAAAATACTCACCATGGAGATGCCCTTCTGAATCAATTGACTTTCTGGCCCTGGTTTGTCATATGCTGAAGATGGGGCCCCTAACCTCTGCCAGAGTATTGGTCAGAAAGTTGCTGCAACAGGTCTGGTGGAGTAGAGTTTATATGGCAAAAATGTACACACTTGCTGCTGAAGCCTATGTTTGTGTGGTTATTCCCTGAGATCTACTCCCTGATACTAGCCACAACCTGGAAAAATAGTGTGAAATATGGCCATTCTTTTCTTGTGTACACATGAGTTGCATATATATTCTGACATATAGTAGGAATATTTTATGTTATTGGGCCCTCAGGAAAATGGAGAGAGTAAGGACCTGGTACCAGCCATACTCCAGCACTTTTCTGATCCTGTTCAATCTAAGGATCTGCCAGAAAGACTGACAACTCAGGACAAAAAGCTTTGGACAATGTACCTATGCTGTTACTGCATAGCGCACACAATGACAATTTTCAAAAAACCTTTCACAGAATGTTTCTACTTTCTACTGCAGCCATCCTTTCAGTGGGACCAAAGGTTTAGTGAAAATCTAATGTGAAATTGAAAAAGATCTTGAGTCCACAACAGATTGCAATGCCCAAAGTGGTCAGTTTAGCAAAACACCAGCCATTAGAATAAAATGTTCAACATATCTGATTCTGGAGGTAACAGAACTGCCTGACCTAACCACCCCAAACATTTTCAGCACATTGTATATCATACCAGATATAATTATTGTATCAGCATTGCCATCCCTTAATATTTTATAAGATACTCATTTATTAAGATCGTAAATGTTTTAAAAGAGCACATTGTTGCGGTGACAGATTCAGTGGTGACCTTTTACGTATGCAAAGGAACGTAGTGTACATGAGTAAGAGCTATCAGTCCTCCCCAAAACAATTAGGGATAGTAGGAAATGAGTAAGAAGGTTGTAATTTACTTGAAGGTTTTGAATAACATCGTAAACCACAAGAGCAAAGTCCAACTAGTTTATGGATGTCATATGAACCTGAGATTAAATTGCATCCTTTTGCTTACTCACTAGTATCTGTATTGTTTTTAATTAATGTAGGCTATGATCAAAAATAATGAAACTTCTATTGATGACAGAAAATTGCATTGGTTGAAATATGTGCTCACATCTTCAGAAGTATATTGTTTCGTGGTTCATATTGTGAAACAATATGGTGAACCCCGGTAATGAATATAAAACCCATAACAGAATCTTAGCGTTTAGATAGCTTTTAAGTCTAAGAGCTAAATTCAGACAGTTTGTAAAATTCATCTAAATCATTGATTTGCTTTGAAATAAGAACATAAGAAATAGAGCAAGAGTAGACAATTCAGCCCTTAGCCTGCTCTGCCATTAATTTGATCGTGGTTGATCTCATCTCAGCCTCAACTCCACTTTCCTGCCCACTCACAATAACCCTACAAACATTATTAATTAAAAATTTGTTTATCTCCTGCTTAAATTTGTTCAATATCCCAACATCTGCCATACTTTGGGGTAGTGAATTCCAGAGATTTATGATCCTTTGTGGGAAGTAATTTCTCCTCGTGTCTGTTTTAAATCTGCCACCCTTATCCTAAAACCATGACCTCTCATTCTAGAGATAGTAGGAACTGCAGATGCTGGAGAATCTGAGATAACAAGGTGTAGCGCTGGATGAACACAGCAGGCCAAGCAGCATCAGAGGAGCAGGAAGGCTGGCGTTTCGGGCCTA